CTTTTTAAAAAAAATGAAAAACGGGACTAACAATAAGTGGGGACTGAATGGCACATGCGCATTACAGACAATTGGGAATCTATACCTTTCTCTCTCGCACATATGTTGGCTTCAGCTCGATGCATGGACGGTATAGGCAATTCTCCTTCCAGTAATATATGTTCTAAGGCATTTACCGAAATTCTGATGATGAATCATAAAATGAATTCGTGTATTGTTGTGACTTTTTGGAGAGAGGAGAGAGAAGTAAGAAGAAAGAAGTGTGTGTGCGCGTGTATGTAACGGAAGGTGCAAATAACTCTACGCGGGGGAAAAGAGACTGAGATAAGTTACAGAAATAAAACATTGAATTACCTAAACTATTAATCGTATAATTAAAAAATAAGTAAACGGGGTAAACAAACAAAAAAAGTTAAAAATCTAAAAAATTTTTACAAAAAAATGAAAAACACCAAATACAAAAGAATATTAGTAAAATACTCTCGTAAAAAAGAACTACTAAGTAGTGATAACACTATTGAAATGTAGTAATGTTATCACTGCATTAGTAGTTTTTTTTACGAGGGTAGAATCAATATCTCGTCGCATCCTCGTTGTGATTCTGAATTTGGCAGAAAACGAGATTAAAAGAAGCAAAAAGTTAATAAGACATAAAGTTAGTCTTTTTATTGTTTGGTATAGAGACTTGTTAATATAAGATTAACAATTTATCTATAGGTTAAATCGGTTTAGTTGTTTTCTTAAATAGCGTTATAAAACGATTAATAATTTAGGTAATTAAATGTTTCATTTCTGTAACTTATCTCAGTCTCTACTTCCCCGCATACAGTTACTTGCATCTTCCACACAGTTACACACACACACACGCACACGCACACGCACACGCACACACACACACACACACACACACACTTCTTACTTCTTTTTTTCTCTTCTCTCCAAAAAGTCTCAACTAAATACACGAATTTTATGGTTCATCATCCGAATTTTGATAAATACAAAAATACTGTATTTATGCTCAATTTTCAAGGTGTTCTTCAAGCGATACGAACTTTTTAATAATTCTATCATATTGAGGAGATCAACATCTATAAAAAAACACTATTGTTTTTGCTTATATTTTTGGGAACAAAAATTGGATCTTTTTTAACATCCTTCTTTCCTCAACATAGTCATTCCTTCGGAAACTCTAAAGAAATTAAAAATGCACTTAAGGACTTATATCTTTGAAAAGAGGCTATTGACAATTAATCTGGACCATGTGCAATGTATTTGTAACTTCGGACCATCAAAGATATATATATGAGCGACAATTATAATTTTTATATTTGCGATTAATTTGATATAATTTAGAAGGTCAAAACGTTTGATAAACGATATGACACGTATTTATTTATGCAATGTAATGTGAATATGAATATATTTAAATATACGGTTAGCACTTATACTCAGCGTGACTCATTAGCGAGTTTTATTATACATATTATATTTGAATTTTATTCTTATGAGCCTTTTATTATTTTAACTAAATAAATATTATATAAGCGTTATGCATAACAAATGCTCGGTTTCATATATTTTAATTTAGGCATAAATTCGTATAAAGAGTTAAATATAATTAATATAAGAATTCTAAATAAAGAAAAATAATGTTTGATGTTAAATTATGTTATTGTCAATCAGCAATGTTTGCTGATATAATCATTATCGGCATGTGTTGTTATTTTTGTCTATATGTGATATTTATTGTCAAAATAATTGTTGTATTCTTTAATTTACTTAGTTATTTATATATTTATATATGTTAATGTAAATATTTTAAATATGTTCGAACACTCATATACTTTATTTTCTTTCACTTGTCGTGTATTACCTTTTTACTATTTACGTGATTATATTATAAATTATTTTCAATCAAACAAATCGATGTTATGACAATTGGAATTATTATCGTACTAAATTAGGATATCTACTTAAAGTGAATATAACATGAAATATGAGGTATCCCACATGGTTTGCTTGTTGATATTTTTCACCTAATGCATGGAGGATTAAATATAGTTGAGCAACGTAAAAAAAAAATATAAAAAATAGTAACAAATAGGAGAAAAAACTAGAAACGGTAAAAATATAGGAATTAAAAAATTTATTTATTTTAATCAGTTTGGTATAGCTTTTAACAACATATCTATCATGAGTTTTTTATTATATGAAACGCGTATGCACAAGAAATGTCCTGGCGATCGAATGATTTCAGGACAAGAGTACCGACACTAAATCCTACGGAATTGCCACCAACAACTTCAACACAAGGCAAAACATACATTTATAGAACTAGAGTTCCACGACGAGATCCTATGGAATCAACAATGTCGACGATTCCGTTGTTACGAGACAGCAATGTTGGACGCGCCATAACGAGAAGAAGGGGTGCTGTTAAACATAATAAAGTGCACATTGTGCGGGGTCACAAACTTGTAGCCAAGTTTTTTCGGCAACCGACATTTTGTGCTTTTTGTAAAGATTTTTTATGGTAATACTTCAGATATATTTTGTATTTTTTTCATTAATATTTTGTGTTTTATCTTATATTTTTAGAATTCCTACAATTTCAATCTGATATATATTTTTTATCAACAAATAAATGTTCTTTAATAATTTATTTTTTATTCTAGGGGTTTTGGAAAACAGGGTTATCAATGTCAAGGTAAAGTTTTTAGTTTCTATAATTTTGCTTTATCAGGTAAAACTGCATATTAGTGACGACCTCATTGATTTCAATAATCTTGTTGTTATATAAATATGTTGTTAAAGTCATAAAGATTTTAGTAGAAGATTTTAGCTTTTCATTGTTTATTAAAAAACAAATAAAGTTGATAATATAAATGTGTGTTTAATTTTATAATTCAAACTTTATGTGAAAATTTATTAAACTCTTGTACGATTCCTCACTTTACGTTGCAAAAAAAAATATATACATATACCCATATATAATCATATATAAGTGATTAAAAATATACATATATAATTATATATGAACAATTTTTCTCATTTCTTCAAACTTGATTTTTTGTAAAAAAAACAATGTAAAAATTATTTTTTAGTTATTTTTTATGTTTCCTTCTTATTATTATCAATTTTGTATTAAAGAATAATTTTATAAAGGAAAGAAACATATATGGACATA